CCCCGCATGCTCCACCATTACATATCTGTACCTTTTCCACACTGGTGTTTGTGTAGGGGTATCAGTAGCTTTTCCTCCCTTAATTCATCCTTTTGTGCTAAAAGAAAAGTCCCACATTTTCTATTCTCTTCTAAGGATAGTAGATTTTGCTTGTTCCCTCTTTGGCAACATAAACAAACATGAATATTACTCCTGACTCTACATTTATATAGGTACTTGAAAATCCCAGTTTACACTAAAAATTCAACCTCCTTCCTTTTGGGGGCTGTTACACTATGTTGCTGTTATGAAGAATTCTCCATAATGCAGACGCTGCTGTCATGAGCACAGGCATCCCCTGGCACATATGAATTCCTTCAAGGATGAAACTACTGCAGTTCTTGCATCTTTTCTCAAACACCAGACATTGCTGGTTTGTGTTGTTCCCGCAGCATGTGCAAGTCCTTGAAACCCGACTTCGGGCTTGAGCTGTAGATACCTTGTTCCAATTTTTTCTTAGATCCTCCAATGCTTCCAGTCCTGCGCATCTTCAAACATTCACACTCAACTGGATGACTTTCTTCATTGGATAGTCTCAGATGAGGCCTCATCAAGAGTTGGCTCTGGGTCCTCCTGGAATTGTTTACCCCCTGTCCAGTGTTTCTGCAGACTCTGTAAAACTACAAGACTGGATCTCTAGTGCTAGTTCATGACTCTTTCTAGGTGTCATTCTGGTACTCTTAAAATGGTTCTTATTTAGCTCTCCTGTCACTGTAACAGTTTCAAATAGCCTCCTTTTCTTAAAATAAAAGAACACTCAATACCAAATACCCCTGAGGCAGGTACTTTGGGTGTGCCCACTTTCCTAAGCCTGCCATCCACAGTTCAACACCTCCACAAGGCTAAGAGTTACAGGACACAAATCTCACAATAACAGAGGAAGAGAAGCTCCATGAGTGGTTCATAGACAGAAATGGTCTTGACTCTCTAGAAACAATGCAGCTTCTTATGGGAAGGGCTGGGCTCATCCCCAAGAAGCCTTGGTAACATCAGCCAAGTTTTGAACTTCAACAGGCTCTGTAGTTTCCTTCCTCCCTTGCACAACTGGGCTTTGAGACTGTTCTCTGTGCTAGCCTAGCTCCACAGATGATAAAGACCTCTGAAGAGCCATATACTGCCTGCTTCGCAGCCATTAGAAGTTTTATCCCTGGGTATTTCCCTTCTTGCTATCATTTTTTTTTCCCTGCATCTAAACCTCCCAAGGTCTCCATGTTTCTGAAGCTGAGTGCAGGTAGGGCACCCATCCTTCACTTGGTATATTCTCTAGTCCATATTTCATATAGTCAAAGACCCGAGCATTAAACAAAACTCTTCTTTGTTCAACATCTGTACACTAACTGCTTGCAAGACACAGTGTAGCCAGTATATAATACAGACAGTTCCAATCAGGCACTGAAACAACCCTTTTAAGGTACAAGGTCCAGATGCTGAGGCTCAAACATCCTCTTACAGCACACCATCTTGATAACACAGGTGGAAAGAGGAAAGTAGATTAAAAAGCCCACACGCCAAAAAAAAAAAAAAAAAAAAAAAAAAGAGGTGGCAGTGATGGAACTCGTCTCAACTAATGAGCTATGGAGCCTGGTAACACTGTGTCATCTCAAAAGCACTCAGAGAAGAGAATGGGGCTTAAGAAAGAAAACTGCCATTGAGTTCAGAAAATTTAGAACTTCTTTTGTGTTTAGCACAAAAGGATGGATTAAGGGAGGAAAAAGCCTACCAGCAACCCTTCACGAGCAGACAGTAGCAACTAGCAGAAAAGCGAAACTACGCTTTTGGGAGAAACTCAAGATCTGGAAAGCAAATCACTGTCTTTAGCTCAGTCTTATAACCATCTCAGAGAATCAAACTCTTTCCCAAGCACCCTTCTTCTAACCTATGTTGAATATGTAAAACAAGGACACCAGACTTGCAGCCAAGTGATTTTCCACTCCAGGCAGATGGAACATGATGAAAGTCAGTTTGTGGGTGTTTGTGCTTGATTTGGCAGGAAAAAACATGAGGGAAGGACAGTGTTTGAGGGAGGGTATCAAAGATCAGAGCCAGATGCTCCTTCACAGAGCTCTGGATTTGCAGGAAATTAAGCAGGTAGAGAAGGTGAGGCAAAGGGTGTGTTTGAAATGAGAGTCAAGGGGTTCGAAACTTAGAGCCATCCAAGATGCTTGGGGGAAACTGCAGCACATACCAAAACCACACCACAGTGGCCCGAGGGGCTTTCATTATACAAAGCCTGGGAGAGCAGAGGCTGTAAATGCAGCTTCAAAAGGAGCCTCATCTTAAAGTCTTAGCTCTCAGGGCCTATTAAACATTTATGCTGACTACCACTCCTACTCTTTGCCTTGGAGAAAGCACCCGAAATAACCTTTGCTACCGAGCAAACTACTACAGTTCTGCTGGCTGTGTAAACGGACTAGAGGGGAGCTGTGGGAAACAACCAGAAATGGTGTTGGAACAGCACACTGATGTCTGTTTGGTGAGTGGGGAAAGAGCAGGAAAATCTAGTCTGCAACTTCAAGGGGAAGACAGAAACTAATACTAGAAATAATGAGTGGATTGGATTTGTAGAAACAACTAGGGCTGAGTGAGGCAAGCAAATATATCGAGCCTATAATCCGCTTTTGATTTTTTACCTTAAGGTTCATACTTTTGGCAGAGTTTTCCGACCAGCCTCCAGTTTTGGATCTATTACTATTGCAATTACAGAAGTGACAGACTGTAGAAGATGAAGAAACTAGATCCTGTGTAGAAAGCAAAAGGAAGACAGAAGGATTCTAGCAGAAGTTGGAAAGAAGGGATGCATCCCCCAATTTGCTGAAAAATTCTTTGGCCACGCAACACAAGTTTAAGATGAAAATACAAGCCAGAAATACTCCAGATTTTTGCTGTAGGAAGCTGTTACTACTAATAGCAGATAACTACCCACAACACATTCACTTACTCACATAGTTCACGCAGTTATCCAGCTGGAGCAACAGTTGAGTGGCCAACGCCAGCTGTATACTTAGTGGGTTGCGCTGACACATTAGCAGCTTTTAGGTAGGTGTTTGGAAAGTCCCTCAAACTCATTTATTTCAACAGATGCATATATGATCCTGCAGTCTTTGTCTGTATACAGAAACCCATGCCCTCCAGTCACACAGCCCACCACTGTTGATGCTAGTGTTTACTTGTGGCCTTGCACAGCAGATACTTGGGGCCCTAAGTTACCAGCTTTTGTAGATTAACAGAAGTACCTATTGCCAGAATTTGCCAGTTTTCAGGAAAGTCTCATGAGCGTCCTCAGCACATATTTTCCTCTTTGGCCCATTTTCTGGTAACTGTTTCTCCATCCAAACCTAAGGATGCCTATGAAACCCCTTCAATCTCACACAAGAGGTGTTTAGGGCAAATTTAATTGGTGCCTTGTGTGGCTAATCCTTCAGCCTTCCTGCTATGTTCAGGGACAAACTTAGTGTAAATGTGTGAGCCACTACAGAGCCTCCTCTGAGAATCCAAAATCCAGTAGTATGGATCCGGGCTCTGAAAGATGAAAGTTTGGCGTTCACATTTGAATCCTCTGACCCCAGTAAGAGAGGTGGTCCATGCCACACTCAACCTAGGGAGGAAACATCAATAAAATGATCTGGACTGTTGTTAAGATAGCGTCAGCATAGCCCTGACCTTCCTACTTGTGTTATTTGGCTGCTTATCAGTATGGTTATCACATCCAGGCTGTATTAATGAGCCTGTCTCCTGAAGACTGGCTTCATATGGCTAAGCTGACCATTAACTGCATTCTTCAACATTGTTTGCCTTTCTCCTTAACATCCACATTCCTGAAGGGGCAGGAAGACTTGCACAAAGCAGCCTCAGTTTTTACACTGTAAGATTCAAGACTTAAACTCAGGTGATCAAACTGAGCCACGCTTGGCAGCAGCAAAATATGGGGGCTTCTTGCTTTCAGGAGCTCATGTAGACAGACCCAAGCGGCACCAGGTAGAGAAGGTTAATTTTACTCTTCATTCAGAAAGCCCAGGAGTGCCAGGCCATGAGGGCTAGCAAAGATGGCTGATAAAACCGCTCGTGCCCGACCCGTTCGGGGCTAGGGCCCACGTCCACGCTCCCCGCCGGAGCTGCGGCTGCCCTCCCCCT